GTATACATGTTATACTGCATCATATAAGAACATTGAAACCTACAAGCATGGCCACGCAGGGCTCTTGAAATCTGAATAGCGCAGGAACTATATATCCAACAACGGGGCAAACGAACAATTGCAGGGGAACAAACTTCAAATCTAGCTGTGGAAATCCAATTAGTAGATCAGTGAGGGACATGGGCTGTGAAGGATGTAGGACTCTTAAAGGGGAGCATGTTGGCTTCATGACGAAAGGATAGAAGATTTGTGCAGTTCGTGTTTTACATGACATGATTACACTCGCCGGGATTATGGATTTGAACTCAAAATGTTTCGAAACGTTGCCCATTGTTCGTTCGAAGGAGGATAGATTTCGAAAAGGGAGTCGTTTCTTACAAACTCACCTTCTAACACGCTGTGCTGCTCTTTGATGAACAAGCCATACTACGCAATCCTTTGAGAAGTTGTCAAGCTGTAAAGCATTGTTCTGAACTTAGCACTTGCATATTTGTTTATTGGGGTTTTATTTAGGTCATTCATTTATACTACTGATAAAAGCGGTAGAACCACAATGGGGTATGTATTGCCATTAACAAATATTAATGGTAGTAAGTATGAGGGGAGAGATATATATGTATATATATATATATATATATATATATATATATATATATATATACATATATATATATATACATATATATATATATATATATATATATATATATATATATATATATATATATATATATATATATATATAGAGAGAGAGAGAGAGAGAGAGAGAGAGAGAGAAAGCGAGAGCGAGAGGAGGGGGTGGGCGAACATGCAAAAAGAGAAAACGTTACACAGCAATGCCTCACTCATATTCCAACAGCAAGTGCGCTGCTTCTAGTGACCTGGCGAACGTGAAAGTAGGATGAATTCATATGACAGACACAAGCAGATGTACTTCTGTTGAAAGGTATGTTACGACACATGTATGATAGATTATACTCTGACCAAGTACTTTTACAGTTTATATATTTGTTCTGTTATCTGAATTCATTTACGTCTATTTACATGGCTCTAACAGCTACACTAACGCAAACAAAATTAACATTGGTATATACGTGTATCTCTGAATCAACTCTCCACCTTGGCTTATCAACATAATTCGATAACAGTGCATTGAACATCCGATCAAACTGGAGAATTTACATTTAATCCTCTATTCAGTTCCCGGAGTAACATCAATTATTGGCTCATCACAAGCTGGAGACTGATAACGCGTCAGTTCTCGGAGGATGCCATTCATCTCCGAAGGCAGCGTCGAGGCAGATTTGTTCTTATTTCGATTACCCCCTCTCTCTCTCTCTCTCTCTCTCTCTCTCTCTCTCTCTCTCTCTCTCTCTATTTATATATATATATACATATCTACCTATCTATTTATCTATCTACCTATCTATCTATCGGTCTCTCTCTCTCTCATTTTTTATTTCTTGCTCTCTCTCTCACTCACTCTCTCTCTCTCTCATTTTTTTTGCTCTCTCTCTCACTCACTCTCTCTCTCATTTTTTTTTCTTGCTCTCTCTCTCTCTCTCTCATTCTCCCTCGTTCTCTCATTTTTTCTTTCACTCTCTCTCTCTCTCTCTCTCTCTCTCTCTCTCTCTCTCTCTCTCCGTATCTCTCTCTCTCTCTCTCTTGTTCCCTATCTCTCTCTCTCTCTCTCTCTCTCTCTCCGTATCTCTCTCTCTCTCTCTTATTCCCTCTTTTTTGCTCTCTCTCTCACTCACTCTCTCT